GTGGGACCAGCCGGGCTCGGTGGCTCAGCCTGCAATCCCGCGCCTTTGGGAGGCTGAGGTAAGTGGATTGCCTGAGCCCACGGGTTCGAGACCCGCCTGGGCAGCGAGACCTCATCTCTACAATAAATCAAAAAAATCAGCCGGGCATGGTAGCGCATGCCTGTAATTCCGGCTACTTGGAAGGCTGAGGTGGAAGGATCACCGGAGCCCAGCAAGTCGAGGCTGTGGTGGCTGGGAGCGGCCACTGCACTCCAGTCTGGGCGACAGAGTGAGACTCCAACTCAAAAAAAAAAAAAAAAAGATGTGGGATCTTTAAGAGGTGATTAGGACATGAGGCCTCTGCAGAGCCCTCATGGGTGGGATGAATGCCATTATAACAGGGTGAGTTCAGCCCCAACCCCCTTTTGTTCTCTCTCACCTTCTACTATGAGATGACACAGCAAAACAGCCCACGCCAGATACTGGCACCTTGATATTGGATTTCTCATCTTCCAGAACTGTAAGCCAATAAATCTGTGTACATTATAAATCACCTAGTCTTTGCTATTCTGTTACAGCAGCACAAAATGGACTAAGACACCCGGTTTCTAATGAGTGAGGTTTCTGGGACCTAGGAAGCAGAGAAGCTAGGTCCTGCAGTTGTGTGAAGTCAACAGAGCCAACATGGAAAGCTGAAAAAGCTGACAACTACAGCTGAGCACAAGAGGGATCTTCAGGATGAATGGTACTTGTACAAAGAGACTGGTGAAGGGAAAGAACACTGGGCTTAGAGTCAAGGACCTAGGTTTAAAACTTTTTTTTTTTGAGTTGGAGTCTCACTCTGTCGTCCAGACTGGAGTGCAGTGGCCGGTAAACCGCAGCCTCGAATTCTGGGCTCCAGCGATCCTTCCACCTCAGCCTTCCAAGTAGCTGGAACTATAGGTGCATGCTACCACGCTCGGCTAATTTTTTGATTTATTGTAGAGATGAGGTCTTGCCAAGTTGCCCAGGTGGGTCTCGAACCCGCGGGCTCAGGCAATCCACTCACCTCAGTCTCCCAAAGTGCTGGGATTACAGGCTGAGCCACTGAGCCCGGCTAACTTTCCAGATCTAAGAGAAAATCACTTACTATCATAAAGAAGATAAGAAAAAAGTTAAAAGAAAAAAAAGTTTTAAAATAAAAAGAAAGAAAACCACTGAGTAAGGCTCTTGGGTTCAGAAGAAACAGCTGAAACTAACTCAGCAATGATCCACAGGAAGAGTTTTCTGAGGCTGAGGCAGGCTTGAGACCAGGAGTTACAGCTGCACTGAGCTACAATCACATCACTGCACTCCAGCCTGAGTGACAGAATGAGACCCTGTCTCTAAAAAAAAATAAAATAAACAAATAAATAAGAGTCTTCTAGGTCTAGGAACCAAACAAACTCATACTTTGAGTCTGCATAAAATACAGAGGACTAATTCTGTGAGTCTAGTGAATCACAGATCACAAAAGCTTCAAAGCTCAGAAGATACAGGGAAAGATACCTACACAAGTAACTGGAATACAAGGACAAGTTCCAGCACAAACAACAACAAAGGAATCAACACACGCGTTGCTATGGCAGTATACCAAAGTATCGCTGCAGCAAACTATATTACAGTGACATCTACAGGAGGGAAATAAAAGAGAAGGGTTGTCCCATTATGAACCAGACAGTTTGAGTTCTGATTCTTAAAAAGAATAAAGTTTCTAAGGGCAAAGTTTCTAAGGGAAAAAAAAAAAATTTCAAAAATTTGGAAAAACATTTATAAGATTTATTTTATGATAAGGATTATTCAAACTAGAAGTCCAGAAAAGGTCAAAAATAACCTATCTGAAGCAAGCTAGAATGAAAGTAAAAGAAAATAAAGAAAAAGAAAACTAACATTTCCAAATCTGTTCTCAATATTTATGATGTCTCTGTGATTTCCTTTCTGCTAATAGCAATGAATGCAAACACCAACAATCTGGCCTGCACATCAGCACAGGACTATTCTGGGCTATGGCAGATAATAATAATCAGTCATGATCTTCTTTTTATTCTTGCTCAAAACCCAGTCTTAGAATCCTTGTCCTCACAGCTTTCTAAGCTGCCATCACCAGATGACTAGAATTTATACCTTAGGAGAAAACCCAACAAAAAGTCTTGGTTTAGACCTGCATTATGTGTGTACTTGTAATAAAGATACTTACTTAGCTGTGGACAAAAGAAGACAAAAGGGAAAACCATCCCAGGATGAGGGGTAAAGGAGTAGCAAAGCTGTCTGAATCACTTACTATTAGAAGAAAGAAATAAAGGAAATAAACCGAGCTCGGTGGCTCAGCCTGTAATCCCGCGCCTGGGAGGCTGAGGTAAGTGGATTACCTGAGCCCGCGGGTTCGAGACCCGCCTGGGAACTTGGTGAGACCTCATCTCTACAGTAAATCAAAAATTAGCTGGGCGTGGTAGCACATGCCTGTAGTTCCAGCTACTTGGAAGGCTGAGGCGGAAGGATCACCGGAGCCTAGCAGGTCGAGGCTACAGTGGCCGGGAGCAGCCACTGCACTCCAGTCTGGGTGTCAGAGTGAGACTCCAACTCAAAAAAAAAAAAAAGAAAGAAAGGAAGGAGATAAAGCTAACCAAAGGAACAATTGGAAACCACCAAAAACTTTTTATACAGTTGCCCAAACAGGAAATTTACTTCGATTAGTCTGATAAAAAGCCACAGAGTCTAACAGATTATGATCAGGAAAACAGGCTGAACAAAAAAACTTAGAAAGACAGAAAAATATAAAATAAAATAAAAAATCTTTTCTATTTCCCATTGTCAGAGAGAGATGTAATTAAGGTTTCCTTGTTTCAGGCATTTTAAAATTCTAAACATATATTTATGAATAAAAAGCTGATAATAGTCAGATGTTACTCATTTATCAAATAAAATGACAAAAAGCAATATAATTATTGTTTTTTTTTGAGTTGGAGTCTCATTCTGTCACCCAGGCTGGAGGGCAGTGGAACGCTCCCAGCCACCACAGCCTCAACCTGCTGGGCTCCGGCGATCCTTCCACCTCAGCCTTCCAAGTAGCTGTAACTACAGGCACGTGCTACCAAGCCCGACTAATTTTTTTATTTATTGTAGAGATGAAGTCTCGCCAAGTTGCCCGGGCAGGTCTCGAACCCGCGGGCTCAGGCAATCCACTCACCTCGGCCTCCCAAAGCATAGGATTACAGGCTGAGCCACCGAGCCCAGCTTAATTATTCTTTTAAAAACTTCTACAAGGTAGTTGTGCAAATACACCAGAATGTCACAAATAGCCACAATTAGAATAAAATAAAGATGTGAAAAATACTGTAGAGATATTGACATAGAAAGGTGCTCATGACATAATTAAGTTGAAAATATGGGTTACAGCCAGGCTCGGTGGCTCAGCCTGTAATCCTGCGCTTTGGGAGGCTGAGGTAAGTGGATTTCCTGAGCCCATGGGTTCGAGACCTGCCTAGGCAACTTGGCAAGACCTCATCTCTACAATAAAAAAAAAAATCAGCTGGGCATGGTAGCACATGACTGTAATTCCAGCTACTGGGAGGGCTGAGGCGGAAGGATCACCGGAGCCCAGCAGGTCGAGGCTGCAGTGGCCGGAAGCAGTCACTGCACTCCATTCTGGGCGACAGAGTGAGACTCCAACTCAAAAAAATAAAATAAAAAAAGGAAGTGTTAAAAAATAAATAAAAATAATTAAAAAATAAAATATGGGTTACCAAAGAGAATGTTCACAGTGATTCAGTTGCTTTAAAAAAAGTCTAAAGGCATAAAAACTATTAGTTAATATTGTGTTATAATCTGTGTGGGCAGTGGAATTTTGAGTGATTTTTTGCTTCTTCCTTTTGTTTCTCTGTATTTCCTGATATCTGAGAAATTATTTTTTCTTTTAAACACCTACTGCAATTAGTAATATGCTCCTGTTGTTTATGTACAGCTATCAGAAAGATGCAGCAAAGTATCAGCCACCATAGAATCTGTGTGTTCAGATTTATCTCTCCAATCACAGCTGTGCCACATGGCTAGGTAACTGGAAATCTAGTCTGATGATCTGAGGACCACTGCTGTTTCCTGACACTCTCCCCACTTACAACTCATTAGAAACCTTACCTTTAGCAAACTATTTCCAGATACAGGCTACTCGCAAGCCAGGGTACCTCAAAAATAATCTTTAAAAGAACATGGTTTATTGAACAATTACTAGAAGTTCCAGTCAGAGCAATCAGGCAGGAAAAAGAAATTACAGTCATGCAAATTAGAAAGGGAAAAGTGAAACTATCCCTACTGCAGAAGACATGACCTTAAAAATACAAAATCCTAAGAAATACACCAAAAAAACTATTGAAGCTAATTATATACTTGTGCATGAATGTTCAGGGCAGCACTATTCATGATAGCCAAAAGGTGGAAAAAACACAAATGTCCATCAACAGATGAGTAAATAAACAAAATGTGGCATATTCTTACAATATTATTCAGTCATAAAAAGGAATGAGGTACTGAAACATGTAGAGGGTTTCTTTTTGGAGTAATGAAAATGTCTTGGAACTAGAAAGAGGTGATGGTTGCACAGCACTGTGAATGTACTACATGCCATTTCAAAATGGTTAATGTGCCTGTAGTCCTAGCTACTAGGGTGGCTGAAACAGGAGGATTCCTTGAATCCAGGAATTCAAGATAACAGTGAGCTATGGTCAACCACTGCACTCCAGTATGGCAACAGAGCAAGACTGTTGCTAAAAAAATAAAATAAAATGGTTAATAATGAATTTTATGTTATATGAATTATGTATACCTCAATTTAAAAATACAAAAGAGTGTAGTCTAACAACCTAAAATATTTCAAACAATTTATTTTCCATTCAGAAACAGCAAGTTTTTAAATAGATTCAGACCTGTTTCATCATAGCATTTTTTTTATAAAGAAACTCTCCAAAATAATTCAAAGAATAATATTAATATAATTCCCTACTTCTTACCAGAAGATTCTTTTCCATTCTGCTTTTCATAAAGGGTACCCACAGACATCAGGAAAACAATAACCAGGAATACTGGAATTCTCCAGGAGCCAGCCAGGGATGCTGCAAATTATTAAGAATTAACATTTTTAGTGAAATAAAAAACCTAGTATTTGTTTTTAAAAGACTCAGTTTTGTAGCTTGACAGAATAATTTGGTATAAATTGCCCAGGCAATTATTCACATTTTTTAAAAGGCCATCAGACAGATTAAACTTCAATTCAGGGCTTTTCAAAATAAATTCATCTCTGCTATAAGAAGCCCCTAGTCAAATCAATCAGGTGTGTACCAGTCTACCTTGAATAGGCTAGAATCGCCTGAGGAGTCAAATCTGTTTTGAGGCCTATCAAAGGTTTAAGACCATCCCAAACTCAAACCACCTGTTTGACCCCAGAACTATCAGAGTCAGGCATAGATCTTAAAGTCATGAAACCTGACTTGGTTTCCTGAAATTACCACTGGGTATGAACTCCACCTCTAAAGAAAGGGCAAATGGCCAAAGGAGTATAGCAAAAGCTACAATATCTCCTACTCAATTAATAGTGCAAAAATATTTACACATCACCAAGGAACATCCCTACATATAACCATTTGCATTTCCCCGAGCCTATCAAGAGCCTCGTGGACATATTTGCCTGTCTCCTTCCTCTGCTTTCTTTCCTCAAATTAAAAATGAATCATATATATGACAGTAGGGGGTCTTGCAGATAAATTCCTCTAGTATTGCAACTCAACAAAGATAGAGCTGGGCACAGTGGCTCTCACCTATAATCCTAGCACTTTGGGAGGCCAAGGCGTTCAAGACCAGCCTAGGCAACATAGCATGACCACGTCCCTACAAAAAATTAAAATTAATTAGCCGGGCATGGTGGTACATTCTTGTAGTTCCAGCTACTAGGGAGGCTGAGGAAGAAGGATCTCCTTGAACCCAGGAGGTCAAGGTTGCAGTGAGTTGTGATTGTGCTACTGCACTGCACTCCAGCCTAGGTGACAGAGAACCTGACTAACCAAAAAAAAAAAAAAGAAACCCAAAGCTAGAGAACAATGCTATGTTTGACAGTAGACTCTAAGCAGAGACATAACCATTTTTAATTGTATTTTTAACAATAACTAATAGTTCTAGAAACTACTCTAAGGCTATATCTACTGCTCTGTGGATTTTGTTTTTAAATTAGAATTTAATGTTTCTGTTGACTCAGACTTAGTTGGAGATGAGAGTCTCAACCATATGTACCATGCTGAAAATCACCAACAACTAAGATTAGCAGCCAATGGTTTCACATAACAGGGAATTCACTACTCTGAGCAGCTATGACATGGTTCATCCTTACATTGAATAGATTTGTTTCTCTGAAGCTACTCACTGCTCTGACATCTTTCTTTCAAGGTTACAGAGATCTTTTTGAAGCACCCTTTCAGGCCAGGCACAGTAGCTCATGCCTGTAATCCCAGCTCTTTGGAAAGTGGAGGCAGGATTACCTAAACCCAGGGGTTCAAGGCCAGCCTGGGCAACTTGATGAGGTCTCCTCTCCACACTAAATCAAAAAATTAGCTGGGCATGGTAACCAGCACCTGTAGTTCCAGTTACTTGGAGGGTTGTGACAGAAGGCTTGCCTGAGTCCTGCAGGTTGAGGCTGCAGTGGTTGTGACTATGGCACTACCCTCCAACCCGGGTGACAGAGTGAGATTCTGACAAAAAAAAAAAAAAACACTCTTTCACAGGGCAGACATTCAATTGTTAAAAATAGGTTTTCTAGCCGGGCTCGGTGGCTCAGCCTGTAATCCCATGCTTTGGGAGGCTGAGATGAGTAGATTGCCTGAGTCCGTGGGTTCAAGACCTGCCTGGACAACTTGGTGAGACCTAATCTCTACAATAAATCAAAAATTAGCCGGGTGTGGTAGTGCGTGCCTGAAATTCCAGCTACTTAGAAGGCTGAGGTGGAAGAATCGCCAGAGCCCAGCAGGTTGAGGCTGCGGTGGCTGGGAGCGGCCACTGCACTCCAGTCTGGGCGACAGAGTGAGACTCCAACCCAAAAAAAAAAAAAACAGAAATACATTTTCTATTTTATATACTACTTTACCTCCAACCTCCTCTCTACCCCTAGAGCCCCAATCTTCCCCTCTTATCCAAAGTAAATATCCTCTCTAGTTCCTTTAACTGAGCACCTCTTATCATCCTTGACTATTTATCTATATGCTAAGTATGAAACCAAGAAACGACCATGACAACCCAAGTGTGCTCTACTTTTTAAGGTATCTTTACTTTTTTTTTTTCAGTTGAGCTCTCGCTCTATTGCCCAGGCTGGAGTGCAGTAACATGATCACAGTTCACTGCAGCCTCCAACCTCCAACTCCTGGGCTCTGGGAAGTCTTCCAGCTCAGCCTCCTGAGTAGCAGGAACTACAGGAACATACCAGCATGCTCAGCTAATTTTTTTAATTTTTTTGTAGAGATGAATTTTTTTGTGGCAACTATGTTGCCCAGGCTGATCTCAAATTCCTGGATTCCAGCAATCCTCCCACCTTAGTCTCCCAAACTGCTGGGATTACAGGGCATGAACTACTGCATACCCAGCTAAGATATCTTTACTTTTAAAGGACCTGTTTGAAGATGAACATGTGTATAATTAAAAGACAGACATGTTAAAGCATACGCTTTCTACTGAAGATTAATAAAAACAAAAGCGTAACATTTTCTAAAGATCGCTTTAAGAGCCGGGCTCGGTGGCTCAGCCTGTAATCCCGTGCTTTCGGAGGCTGAGGTGAGTGGAATGCCTGAGCCCGTGGATTCGAGACCCGCCTGGACAATTTGGGGAGACCTCAACTCTACAACAAATAAAAAAATTAGCCGGGCGTGGTAGCGCGCGCCTGTAGTTCCAGCTACTTGGAAGGCTGAGGCAGAAGGATTGCCGGAGTCCAGCAGGTCGAGGCTGCGGTGGCCAGGAGCACTCCAGTCTGGGCGACAGAGCGAGACTCCAACTCAAAAAAATAAAACAAACAACAACAACAAAAAAATCGTTTTAAGGAATTTGCTTGATATATGCAAGATATAACACCATAAAGAATTTACTTTCATTCACACAATCAGCCCCTGCTGATCTTAAGCTAGATTTTTTTTTTTAAAGCAAAGGAACCCACCTAAATGAAAAAGCAATATAATCCAGACCGGAATTGAAACTGCTCTCAAGTAGCGTTCAGTGCTTGCATTCCACTTGAATGAAACAGTCAACACATAGCCAACTACCAACGTCCAGATCTTAAATAAAGAAAATATAGACACAGCTGTAAAATATATACAAATGAAAATGAACATACAATTATACAAGGTTTGCAAGCATCTATGTAGCAGGAGCATTCTGGACATACCACAGATAAGATAATGTTTGGTGGTATAAAAGAAACATGCCTAGGTTCTCATTCCCTGTTTAGATAAACTAAGTTTTGAAATAAATAGGCATTTAAAATCTCATGTAGTGATGTCATTCAAATAGTTGTTTCACAAAAAAATACAGTTTTAATTTAAGATGCGCAAAAGTTCAAAATCCATTTTATACATAAAAATACTTAAGATAAAATATTCAACATATAAATCATGAATTTAAATTAAGAGCCTACTTTTATGAAATACCTATAGTTTTCTCTGTCAATTAGTGTTTAGAAAAGAAATGAAAAAAAAACAAGAAAATAAAAGCATTCAAAAAAAGAATCAAGTTCAAAGATTCTATTTCAACCTATAAAACATGCTTGTCACTGTGAAAGGAATTTTTTTTAAAACTAGAGAGAAGGCAGACAGCTGAAGTGTGACCCTGCTGAAATAATCTAGGTAACAGATGGTTAGAACCTAATCCAGAGTCATAATGCACAACCTGAAGAAGTGTGCCTGAAAAGAATATCACTAGAGGAACAAACAGTAAGACTTGAGAACAGGAGAACTAGGCAGGATCCCCGCCTCAGTTCTCCCTACACTAAAGCTAAATGACTAGTACTTAAGAAACATCAAAAGAAACTGCCATAGCCCACATAGAAATTCATATTTTAGCAGAACACTTACAAAAGACAGAAGAAATACATAATCCAAAACAAATCTAAGTATAAAGAATTTACTAAGGATTACTACAAAAGACAAAAAAAAAACTATCTCCTACATTATTTTGGTCATATCTATCAGTAAAAGTAAACTCTGAGTCTTAAAAATGTTTATAGCTGGCTGGGCACAGTGGCTCATGCCTATAATCCCAGCATTTTGGGAGGCCAAGGTGACAGGACTGCCTGAAACCAGGGGTTCGAGACCAGCCTGGGCAACTTGGCGAGACCTCATCTCTACAGTAAATAAAAAAGAAAAAAATTAGCTGTGTGTGGTGGCACATGCCTGTGGTCCCAGCTACATAGAAGGCTGAAGTGGAAGGATCACCTGAGCCCAGCAGGTCAAGGCTGCAGTGGCCGTGAGCGTGCCACTGCACTCCAGCTTGGGCACAGAGTGAGACTTCAACTCAAAAAAAAAAGTTTATCGCTTCTGATCTAAGAATTCAGCTTTAAAACCACATCTTTAGCAAATAATGATAAATTCTGAAAAAGAAGTAAATATAAAGAAGCAGAGCCAGGCTCAGTGGCTCAGCCTGTAATCCCGCACCTTTGGGAGGCTGAGGTGAGTGGATTGCCTGAGCCCACGGGTTCGAGATCCACCTGGGCAGCGAGACCTCATCTCTACAATAAATCAAAAAATCAGCCAGGCGTGGTAGTGCGTGCCTGTAGTTCCAGCTACTTGGAAGGCTGAGGTGGAAGGATCGCTGGAGCCCAGCAGGTCGAGGCTGCGGTGGCCGGGAGCTGCCACTGCACTCCAGTCTAGGCAACAGAGTAAGACTCCAACTCAAAAAAAAAAAGAAAAAAGAAGAAGCAGAGTATGATTTAGAACAGTGAAAAGGCAATTACCTAAACGGTTCAACAACTAGAAAATGATTAACTATGGATGATTCATGCAATAAAATGTAATAGTCATTAAAAACTTTTTTAAAACAAAAACAATATAGTTTAAAAATTCCTAATATATTGTTGAAAGTGAAATACAAAAAATACATAGGGCATGATTATGATGGGGGGAAAAAATGTACTAAGAAGTTAGTGGTTATATTTGGGTGGTAAGATTTTGTTTTTCCTATTACTTTTTTCATGTATTTCCCAAATTTCCTTTAATAGACACTAATTCTTTTACAATAAAAAGGACATTAAAATATTTTTCTCCAAGCAACGCTATCAGATGAAATATTAAAGATATTCATCTTTATGAATATATGAGGACATGGAAAGTGAGTCGACAGTTGCTTCAAAAAAGTTCAGGCTTGCAGAAGCAGATAAATTAACCCTGGGAATTGAAAGAATTTTGAGATCTGACTGTAGAGCTCAGTACAAAACCTGAGTAAAATAATAGTACATTTACAATGTGCCGGACCCTGTTCTAATGCTTTAGAAAAATGAACTCATTTAGTACTCATAACCCCAGGAAACAAATACTATTATTTTCCCTATTTTACAGATGAAAGAAACTGAGATTTCAGGGAAGTGAACTGCCCAAAGTCACAAAGCTAATAAATGACAAAGCCAGGAATAGAACCCAGGAATTAGAATTCAGAGTATGCTTTCTTAACTATAAGGGGAAAAAAAAAGTGTGGTGCTAGAAAAATAAGATAAGCAAAAGTTGCTCCAAGGGAAAATAAAAATAGTCAATTTTGACAATTACAAATTGTTAAAATAACAAATGATCCTCAGTAGATGGATGGTCTTCAGTGGTATGTCACAGGGCTATCAGCCCCAACATTAAGTCAGCAACTTAGAGGAAACACTAGAGGCATACTAACCAAGCTTGCACATTACACAAAACTGAGAATAGTCAACAAAAATTGAGATTACTTATAATGATTCAAAAAGATATCCTGAAGCCAGAACAACAGGCTAATCCAAATAAGATTAAAGTTAATGGAGAGAAATGCAAAGTTCTGCTTTCCGGTTCAAAACTCAACTACACAAGTACAGACTGGAAAGAGAATATCTATGCTACTTTTCAGTTTAGTGTTAGTAAGTATGATCAGTATGAGTGCTTATTTATAAAAGTACAATTCTCATATCAGGGAACGGATTGTTTCAATGATTTCTACACTACCAAACCACATAAACAACAAAATTCAGCCTGGGAAAGGAAAGGAAAATCACAATATATCATGAGATACAGATATAGCTGGGGAAAAAATAGTTTAGCTAAGAGAAGAAACTATCAAGATTTGATAGCTATCTTCAAATAGTTTTTGTTTTTTTTGTTTTTTTTTGAGTTGGAGTCTCACTGTCGCCCAGACTTGAGTGCAGTGGCAGCTCCCGGCCACCGCAGCCTCAACCTGCTGGGCTCCGGCGATCCTTCTGCCTCAGCCTTCCAAGTAGCCGGAATTATAGACGCGCGCTACCACACCCGGCTGATTTTTTGATTTATTGTAGAGATGAGGTCTCACTGCCCAGGCAGGTCTTGAACCCGCGGGCTCAGGCAATCCACTCACCTCAGCCTCCCAAAGGCGTGGGATTACAGGCTGAGCCACCGAGCCCGGATCAAATAGTTTTTTAAAATGTCATCCAGGAGAGGCATAAGACTCAACTTTCTGTGATTCTGAGAGCAGAAATAATAGGTGGAAATTAGGAAACAACACAGATCAGCTCAGTAGGAAGATAAGTTTCTCTAACAAACCATAGCTGTCTAAAAATGGAATAAGCTACCACCACTAAAAGTGTCAAACAAAGATGACAAAGTGGAAAAGTCTGCCTTTATTAAGAAGCTGAACTGGAGAATCACAGAAGGTATATACAGTACCTTCAAATTTTAAGTCTATAATTCTTTCAAACCAATCTCAAAGAATCTTAATCTCTTATCTGTACTCATAAAGGAATTAGTATCGCTTGCAAGGAGAAAGTAAAGACTGCATACTTCACATTTTTTAAGAGAAACGTATGATCTAAAGCAAAGCACATATTTTCATCTAGTAAATCTGAAACTCAGATTATCTCATTTCAGTTCAAAATAACCACTTTTTAAATATATTCCCTAATTCCACTTTTAGGGATGTTTTGCCTAAGTGCTGCACACTGTGCAGATATAAAATAGTCACAGATGTTTACAAAAATTAAAAATAGGCTAGGTACAATGGCTCACACCTATAATCCCAGCACTTTGGGAAGCCAAGATAGGAGGATCACTTCAGCACAGAAGTTTGAGACTAGCCTAGGCAACATAGTGAGACCTGATCTCCACAAAAAAATACAAAAATTAGCTGGGTGTGGTGGCATGTGCCTGTAGTCCCAACTACTTGGGAGGCTGAGGTTGGAGGATCACTTGAGCCTAGGAGATAAAGGTTTCAGTGAGCTGTGATAGTGCCATTGCACCCCAGCCTGGGTAACAGAGTGACACCCTGTTTCTAATAATAATGATAATGATAATAAAAATAATTAATTTTAAATAGCCTAAATGCCATTTTATAGGGGACTGTTTCAATAATGGTATCACCAAAAAATTGAATAATTATTCACTTTCACAGGCATGATAAAAATCTATTCAATGATATAGTATAAATTTATGCATGTATAAATTTGTAATAATGAAAATATACTCAACAAAAAATGTTTTAAAATATCAACTCTAAGCCGGGCTCAGTGGCTCAGCCTGTAATCCCACGCCTTTGGGAGGCTGAGGTGAGTGGATTGCCTGAGCCCATGGGTTCGAGACCTACCTGGGCAGCAAGACCTCATCTCTAAAATAAATTAAAAAAAAAATCAGCCGGGTGCAGTAGCGTGCACCTGTAATTCCGGCTACTTGGAAGGCTGAGGCGGAAGGATCGCTGGAGCCCAGCAGGTCGAGGCTGCGGTGGCCGGGAGCGGCCACTGCACTCCAGTCTGGGCGACAGAGTGACACTCCAACTCAAAAAAAAAGAAAAAAAAAAAAAAAATATATATATATATATATATATATATCAACTCCGGATGGCTGGATTTCAAGGGGTAATTTGCTTCTTTTTTTTTTTTACAAGTATTAAATTTTGTCCTCAAGCTATGTAATATCCTTATAACTAGAAAAAGAAATAGTTTTACATTAAAAAAAACCTCAGCTTATAGATTTTTTTCAGTATTTTGAAGTGTTTCCTCAGAAAAGATTCACCGAAGGAATATCAGTTCAAAAGGTACAGCGATTTATAAAAACACTTCAGAATTTGTTTTAAACTTATGCTT